CTAATAATAGATAGATATTTATTGAAGTAGGATAAACCTAATATACATAAAAAATACTATAGAAATACAAATACAGTACACTTAAAACTAATTATTATTAACATTAACATAATCTGAGTTAAGAAAAATAAATTTTGTTACACATTACAAAGATACTTCATTTTAATCTTGAGTTTAGACAGCCTTAATTAACAATAAAACAAATAACAGTTGAAAGCATGAACCCAAATATTAAAAAAGAATAAAAAAGTAATAATCAAATATATAAAAGTTAAAATCAAATTTTATCAGTTTTAATAAAAGTTGTCAATTTTTTTTAAAACTTGCTAATGAATTACAATCCTTCATGCCCCTGGGCAGTTCATTATATTCTTGGAAACCTTTATAACGATGCCTGTGATTTCGAATAATTAACTTTTTTATATATTGTTAGTTGATCTTGTGCTTTAATCATGAATATCCCCATGATAACAAATAAATTGATGAAAGTAGAATGGAGCCAAAGAATGAATTATTTTATAAATGAACATAATTGCCAAGTAGTACAACCTTTGCTGAATCGAAAACCATTGAAGAGAATTTAACATTGTGACAATTGGTGTAAGACGATTAGTTTTTAATATTATGCGCATGCCTCGATTTTGTAGTTTTTGAAGTTGATTTAACTTGTTGAGATTAAATAAATGAAAAATGGAGGCACAATAATCGAAGTGAGGCTGAATAATTGTATATTATATACTGTTATTTTAGTTGAAGTTGACAAGTTATTTGAAATTCTAGAGTAGAAATATAATTTGTTCGAATTTTTTTTATTAATATAATTAAAGAAATCATTAAAAATAAGTGCTTTTGTTTTAGTTATTTTCAATTTGTTAAGTTGAAAATACTGGGAAACTTTCTCCAGTATTTTATTCATTTTCTCGATTGCACTCTTTAAATTTATATCAGAGCATGCTATAGCAGAGTGTCATCAGCAAAGAGATTAATGAATTCACAATCAACAAACAGTTCAATATCATTCAAATATGGTATAAAAAGCAGCGGCCCTAGGACACTTTCTTGCGGAACCCCTGTGTCAATGTTATTCTCGGGCGATATCTGATTGTTAAAATGTAGTTTTTGTCTACGACCTTACAGATAATCATTCAGCCACTAGTATAATTTTCCACCTACACTATATTGATGAATTTTCTTAAGTAAAATATCCCTATCAATGGTCTCAAATGCACGTTTCAGATCTAAAAAAATAGCTACTACATATTTATTCTTATCCACATCATTTTTAAATTTACTCACCATTAATAGCCCAAGAGCCCACTGCAAATTTTTACCGTCATCTGATAACGAAATTATATATCTCTCAAAAGCATGTAAAAATATTGTACTTTACCAAAATGGAACCTGTGCCAAACCCAATCCTGAGCAAAGTGGTTAAAAAAAATCACAAGGCATGACAGCGCTAATTTTGTTTGCCCTTAAAGTTTTCCAGAAAATAACATATTCAAATATATCTTGATATATATCGTTAAAGAGAAATGTTTTCTTCTTCTTAACATCGCACAAAAACATCTATCCACGATTAGTAGGTAAAAATCTTTAAAAATATTAATCAATTTTTGCAGAATTAAAAATTTATTTGTATACCTTTTGTTGTGATTCATTTTTACAGGTTGCCATAGAAACGACAAAAAAAACTAGTATGATTATGGTTTAAAAGAATTATCTAACAAGAGTTTATAATAATTATTGACTATCTCTGCAAATGGTTTATACAATGACATCCTTCTTCCTTTCACACATGCACAAGGTTTAAAAGGTAGGTAAAAATAATAATAATAATAATTCAGGTTTAAAAGCTAGGTTCACAATGAATTAGGATTGTAATTTTCAGGGCAAACACAATTGTCGCTGTCATGTCTTTCGTGATTTTTTTAAAATAAAATAATTTTTTTATCCACTTTGCTCAGGATATGGATTGGCACAGGTGCAATTTGGTAAAGTACAATGTTGTTACATGCCTTTGGAGCATATTTCATTTCGTTATTAGATGACGGTCGAAATTTGCGGTGGGCTCTCTTACTATAACTGTAATGCAGACTCACACGAATAGTTTTTTCTGAACCCAGACTAGTTAGTTATTAAAATATAATTAGTATTAACATATTCAAGTAGGTGTTCATACACAACTAGCTCTAATACCTTTTCAATTGACGGGAGAGTATTTACAGGCCTAAATTCTTCCGATTTTATTGTATTATTAACTTTTTGAATTGGAACAATAGTACTAATTTTTAGTTGAGATGGAACTTCGCCAGTATCAAGTGAGGTCCCAATTGTTGCATACACTTCCTTTAGAATTAAGAATATTAAATGCAGAATATTTATTATCTAACGAGTTCAAAATTTTATATAAGTAATGTAAAGTTAGTAAATTAAAGTTTTGAAATGGTAAGTATAAATTATTGTTTAGATTATGCCAGGGAACAGTTGCATCAATAATATCCATAATACTTTCAACAAAATATTCGTTAAATTTAGTTGCTGTGTCAACATTATCATAAAGGATAATATCGCACCTCCGGAAGAACATAATGACTTAAGTGCAGTAAAGTTAATTCCTCAGAAATTACGATTTAAGTCTTTTTATTTCTAATAACTGGTTAACTAAGCAACAGTAATCGTGCAAATAAGGCAAAAAGCTATAATATTCATAAAATTTGTTCTATATAGTTTTAAACAGTGCCATGAGTTACCAACATTTTCCGAAAAATAAGTAGCTATATACAGTCTATGCAAGTCAAACACCTTCCATTTGCGTCATTATTCTTACGTGATATATTATACTTTTAATATGTATGCCACAATTTAATACAAAAATACTTTATTATTATAACCTATATTTACCAACTCATTACATCGGGAAGGGAACTTATTGAGTAAATAAGTATTTTAGAAAAATAAATGTACCAAAAACTTTATTAGTAGCTTTAATTACAATTTTTACAGCTTCCATAATGCTATTGAAAAACGGAACATAGAACTTAGGAATGATATTACCGTGTATTAAACTTAGTACACTTTCCTTTTTGTTTGCACTTATTGGCAATTTGGAATTATATACGGGCTTTAAAGAAATATTTGTTATATCCTTTGGTGCGGTAGACGAACGCCTGTTAACGGTTCTAATCTGGACACGTTGCCAACTTGAATCATTATAGCTTATTTTGTAGAACTAGGAATCGCTACCTTTTTCAAAACGTAGCATTTTGATATCTGCTTGATATTTGCGATTCACTATTAATGCATTGTCCCATCAAATTGGATGGTGCATTGCAAATTATTTTCGAAGAATTTGGCACTACTTCTGCAGTCACATTGTCATTATTGTCGCCAGTTTTTTGCAATTTCAGAATCCTTAAGTGCCCTTGTAACCAGCATTTTACATTTTACCTCGGGAGGTCATTTTGCAGGTAAGTTCTATTAAGATTGTGACTAAAAAAATATTAAATAATTACCCACACGCCAGGTTGGAATACCACATAAGTCATAAATAGTGCCGGGAATCAAAAAAATTGAGTTAATGACATAAAGAACATTTACGTCACCATGCCAAATAATAGCTACAGATTAACATTGCCACAGTAAACACTTACGTCGTTATTCCACTGAAACTCGAACGAAAATCATTTGATTAATAATTCAACAATACCACACTTATGTCGTTGTGCCACTAGGATTAAGCGAAAAATTGTCAAATAGGTTAGAACTAACAATTGCGTCGTTATAGTAACGGAACACGTGCATCTTTGTCCGAGTTCAAAACACAAGTGACGATTACGTCGTAGTATCTCTGAAATATGGGCGCATGTTTAGGTAAATGGAAGAACGACACATCTATCTCCTGTCGACACACATGCGAACTACAATTAGATCATTGATTCATTAGACAGAATGATTGTTTTTGACATGTTCAACTAGAAAAATTTTAATTTTGCACTTGCGTCATTGTTCTTCCGGAGGTGCGATATGGCCTGTTTGATCACTAAATTGAACATGAGCAGTCACATCATTTGATTTAATATTTACTAGTTTTTTTTTAAGTTTTCCACATCTCTTTAGGATTTTCTTTGAAACAATCAATTTTATTAAAATAATAAGTGGGGTTTTTTGACTTCAGCACATTAACTACCTCATTTCTACATTTTTTAAATTTATTCCACATATTCAGCTTTTTATGTTCTGCACATGACTTGAAATACTTGTAAGCATTATCTCGGATTTTAATTTTATTGTAAACCTCATTATCAAATCATGGTATATTAGGGTTATACTTACATGTCTGAATAGGGGCAACCTTATTAATAACTCTCACAATTTGAATATAACTCATGATAAATTACTTCAACATCAATAGTATTAAGATTCCAGTTGCACATAATCAGATCATTTTGTATATTAAAAATGTTGGTTTCATTATAATTCCTATACTTTTTTATAACTTTGTTTGAAGTATTGCTTGCATTGGAAAAAATTACAGGAATCACAGAATGATCACTGATTTTCGGAGTATCATGAACTTCAGCATCACAATTATCATCATTAGTTAATACAAAATCGACTAGAAACTTACTATCAATAGTTATTCGCGTAGGTTTAGTAACTTTTTGTTGGATACCATAGCTTGAGTAAAGATTCTTAATTTTGTTAACATAAAAACTATCACCAAGCAAATTTAAACTAAAATCACCCACTAATACAAATCTATGCACTTTAGAAACAATATTGTCGCAAATGGCTTCAAAATCTTCTAGAAATTTTGCATCCGAACTTGATGGAGAATGGTAGACATCCCACAATCCAGACTGCTGATGAAAAAATTTTTTTTTTACTAACGTGCACCAATAATTTTTTCCAGAACATATGATTTAACAATTGAGCAACTATAACATTTTTTTAATAATTATACTTACTTATCGTTAATACCAATCAATTTGTTTCAGTTTCTATATGTATATGTACATGAGTGGAAATTGAAGAAGCAATACATGATTTGGATAAACAGATTTGCTTTTACATTTTTTATACCTACTTAGTTTTTATCGAGGTGCTATTTTAATGTGTTCAGATTATATTGAGTCCAAACAAAGTAATTATTGAAGAATACATATTACATAGTTATTCTTTATAACAATTGTTATTATATTAATATACACAAATAAAAAAATTAAAAGAACTGGTTCTTTTTGTTTCGGATTTTATATTATCGTCCCATGTCTGTTTTTCATATAATAAACGGGACAAAAATAAATTACATTACTAATATAACTACTGGATGTACCCAGGGAGTAGGGCACCCTTTGTAACCAGATATTATTTCTGAAATGGACACGACGTAAATTCTTTTATCTTATTTTCATGACCATAACTTAATAATTTTATTTTTGTTTTAGTAGGACAATTACTTTTATCATTATATTTTTCAAATAAAAAATAGCACTCACGGAAATGCCTACACCTTTGATTTTATAAATTGCGCCACCCTGTTATTTTTAACCGACTTCAAAAAAGGAGGAGGTTCTTAATTCGTCGCGATATTTTGTTTTATGTACGTTCAGCGATAATTCTTTAACACGGTGTCCGATTTCAATTACTTTTTTTGTTAGAAAGGGGGTACTTCAGGGGTGGTCCCATATAAATTTGGTCAAAATCTAATAATTGGGTAAAATCCTCACTCTTTATTTTTTATGTATGTTTAGCTATAATGCTTTACCACCATGTCCGATTTGATTCTTTTTTTGTTAGTAAGCGAGTACCTCAGGGGTGGTCCCATATAAATTTGGTTAAGATGTGGTGATGGCATCTGCACGTTTTTGAGGTCGATTTTTTTAAAATTTTTAATTTCTAATACTTGTTGCATATATATTTGAATTCTACAGCTCATATTTAGGCATCTCTACAAAGCAATGCGGACAAATAGAACCAATGAAGGGAGATAGTGATCAACAAAATTTTTATTTTACTTAATATTTATTACATACACAATCTATTCTACAAATAAATTTTATAATGCATTTAAATAAAAAAAGAATATCCTATATACTTGACATTTTTAAAGCAACTTACCTACATTTATATAACATATATAACAATTTAGATTATACAAATAGATTTGTTTAAAAGATCTCTAAAAAACTATCAGAAATATATTCCTGATAATTTCTGATAACTTTCATTCGATATGCATTCAAACATAATACAATAACATACTAATATCATATTTATTTCATTTTAACCTAAATTCTTTAAAACAAAATATACAAATTAATTATCAAACAGCATAATCAATGGCTTTTTTGTATTGGTTTAAAATTTTTGTTCTCTATAGTACGCTCATAATTCGAACCTTAGGTAGTTTTTATATATTACTTTTACGCTCTTAGACAAAGCCCGTAATATTTGTGGATATTTTCTGTTTATATTTACACATTTTTATTCAACATTTTTTGTTTTTGATTACCACTAAAAAAGTATTTTTGTAAAGAATGTAATGCAATAGAACATGTGTCGAAATATATGTTGACCTGGTTAGCTCAGGCCAAAGATTCAATCAAAAAAAGTACAAGTTGAACTATTTAGGTTACCCATATAGAGGAAATAGATTTACAAAGAAAAAAAAGCTAAGCGAAATAATTTCCAAATTTAAAAGCATTAAAACAATTTTGACTTTTCACATCCTAATCAAGAAAAAAAGTATGGTGAACTCCAGACGCACATAGTGCGATTTTCTATTTTATATAAAACAAAGATGTAAAAGGCTAACAATTGGACAGACAGCGAAAGTTAAACCCAAAAAGAAGATAGAAGAAAACAGTTCCGACACAAATTTACATCTACTATCCCATACTACATTTAACTCTAACGTTAATAAATAGGAACAAAAATAACCACAAATATATACCAAAAAAGAAACAAGAGATTCAACATCTGGTCTCGTACAAACCACTCCTGCCGATGTACCTCACCCATTTAATAACATCATGGTCTGAATAGTTGAGCTTAGGTTCGAACACTTTCAAATATCTAACTTTGAAGCCAGACGGTGCAAACGGTACTTCAAAGTTCATGGAGATGGGCGGGCGCGTCCATTTCTTTTTGGTATCGGTTTCCAGCAGTTCGATCTCAGCCGATAATTGCGTTTCCTTCATGCCGGCCATCCGTTTTATTCTAGAATTCAATAATAACGAATAAGAGGGGAGTTAGAAAATATTCTTTTCTCACTGTTTTACACTTACTTCCACACTATAGCATTTTCGGACGCCTTGTATTTGGCTTTCCCTTTTAAGCAAATCAATTGAACACCGGAAGTATTCAAAGGGGTCGGAATTTTTACTTCGATCTTTTGGCCCAGTAGAGATGGTTTGAAGTTACTTTTCAGGACCACCTTTACCTCCATTTTGGTGCGTCCGACTTCGCGCACTAGAGGAATGACTCGGAATGGCAGAGATATGTCTTTGGTCGTTCGATATCTGAAATAAAACATTCACTTGCAACTTATCACCCCAAAAAACAAAGCTGAATTTACTTTAAAAAAAATGTGTCAAGATCTCTTAAAAAAAGAATCTCACATTGGGCGCCAATTTATGGCGAACTCGCATAAAAAAATAGAAAAATGATACCTTAAAAAACTAGTCTCAATTTACTTTAAAATATCAGTCTCGATCAATTACTATTACAGAAAATGTCTATCAACTTACCTCATAAGTTCGAATTCTCCATCCGGGGGTATAAAGCTAATGGAATGTTCTGTCTCAAATTTGCTCAATTTAACACATTGATGGAATTGACAATCATCAATAACCACTACTGGTTTACCAGATCTGGCTGGGTCCGGATCACTTGTTGTACCTAAAATCATGTTAAAGTCATGTACACAATTATTATAATTAGCTATAGTAGTCATACTTTTTAAATAGTCCTTAGAGACTTTATCAATTACAAAGTACTATAACAAAATTTTGTCATTCAGAGGAGGCCAAAGAAATGCTTATTAAAATTGTATATTTCGTATGCCTTTGGACGTCTACAAATAAATCCCGAGAAATAAATTTTGCTGTCAAATGTTTACTTTTATTTTCCACTTAATCCCACCTATGTGTGTATTGTAGGAAGAGTGAAAGTAGGTGTCTGTTCTCTATTTAAACAATTCTGGATAAACAAAAAGGGTAAAGTCGATTAAAATTTACTGATAGTTATTCTTCAATTTTTGTAGTTGTGAATGTGAATTTTATATAAACAATTAGCTACCTATAATGAAAATTTCTAATCTAGATTTTTTACATGCATAGGTGGTTAGTTTATATAGAATAAAATGCAAATTTAAATATATAAATGCAATATTTATCTATATTTTTTAAAATATTTTATCTTAAACAAAAACTCATTTGCCACATAAGATTACTAAACTAGGGATGTTTACATCTCTATGGGTTTGTTTTACTTCAAACATAACCGTCATTTTCAGTCCTCAAACACAGTTGACGAATTTATTTTTCAAAAATACGTCGCGATAATAATCAATCTATTGGCCTGAATGAATGTAGTTCACTGATTCTGAATTAGTTTGTAAAAGAACCAAAACAAGCCTTATATTGGTTTTATTTATAAAGTTTATAATTAAATTGTATAATGATTTATCAAAAGAGGACAAAAGTAATACTTGTAGGAAGAGGAATTTGTTGTTTGTGTAATTCTAAAATTAGTAAGTCGTCTCATCTCTGTTACTGCACTCGAAGAAAATATGATTTAGGTCTCCTATGGTAACGTTACTGCAGGGACAAAAGTGAGTATCTAATATATCAATTTTATGAAAATGTGAAGATTTTAGGGTTAGATTTAAAATTAGCTTTAGCTAAATTTCGCCCATTGTTGTAACATTATTATTTTTAATAAAGTTGTTTATTATTATAAATAAATTAAGTTATTTAAACGTTAAGTGACCTATTAAATTTCCTGTTTTAGATTGTAATCGGTTCTCTAGTAAATTTGTTTTAAAATGGGTCATTAATTAGATGCGATTAGTATGTTTACTTTCAGTAAAATTGGTAATAACTCTTTGATTACATTTAGGCTCACAAAAAAAAATGGAATATCATGTTCCCCAATAAGCCAAGCGGATACTTCTTATGTTTCAGTATGAAACTATAATTACAATTTGAAAGTTTGTTCATATTTCTATTTTCCAGAGGTTATGAATCTTAACTGATTACATTTGGCAAAACTGTAACTATTTGTAATTATTATATTGGCTGCGTATAAGCGCGAATAATAAGCAATAATAGTATTTAATTACCAATTTACTTTTAAAGCCTAAATAAAGATGTGATTGAAGATTTTCTTCTAAAACTAAAGACGTTTGTTGATATTTTTTTATGTAAATATGATTGAAAATTCCAATACTTGTTATAGTTAATTGACAATGAATGTGATGACTTACCCAAAGTACCCTTTCCTTTAGCTTCCATAACAATTTTGTCATTGATGCCAAATTTACATTCTGGCATGCCAGATAGGTACGATTTCATCACTACTTTTCCAGCCACGTGGGCGGATAACACTTGACCTAGAAGAAATAAAACAAAGTTTTTTTGATTATTATTAATCACGAGTGTTGATAGATAATGTACCTTGAGGTGACATCAACAAATTAACATATTCCAAAACATCCAAAAACAATTCGTTACGACGATACTTGATCCCTTCTCTTCGCCATCCGATTTGCCCTGTCACTTGGGATGTAATCTGAGCTTGTTCTTCTTTAGTAGCTGATTTAATACCTTGTTGCGTAATGAACGTCTTCAAAACACCTGTGTCAGTGTTCTGAGGATACCCAAAGTCTAAGATTTCTATAATAGATGAGAAATAATTATTACTGATCTGAAGCAAGGATTATATTATATAATCCTTGAGTAGAAACTAGATCTTACCATCGAGTAATTCGTAGATTAAAACAAAGTTGTTCTTGATGTTTTCTTCAGAAATTTTTCCAAAGTAAGATTGCATTACTTCGATAATTTTCAATAGGAATTCAAAGACCATGGCAGCGTTGACATTTTGTTTGGTGACTGCTGCAATCCATATATTGGCTCTCTAACGATTTGAAAATATATAAATTTACCTATCACAATGTTCATAATGCATAATGTATATTACATATAATGTACAATGTATATATTAAAAACATTCATACAGTGTGTATCAAAAGTGTTACTGTTTGGTATAAGCATACATTATGATGTTACACATTCATAGTGATGAATGCAATGAGTAAGTCACAACATAAGTCGCACCGGAATAATTATGTCCTAGACTGTAATGACGCGTGCGGAACAATACAGTTTCAGTATAAACTTTGACCAAGATGGATGGGAAGAAGTAAAAAGCTGGTGATAATGATGTTGGTTAAGGAGCAGGACAGAGAGAACCAGATGGACTTATTAGCTTTTGTCGACATGGGGGAATGTAAGGACATATATGTATATGCAAGGACATTCAAAATACTTGTATATATAAGTATCCTGTTGATAATACACCAATTTTAAGACATACTTTCATAATCAATTCTTTAATTTACTGAATCTCGATAAAAAAAAACTTATATTCCACTAAAGCATTGTCCTTAGATAGCATGAAAGCACTCCCGAAATACTGGTACGTTTTCACTCGAAATCACTACAAATTTTATCGAAATTTTGAAAATCATGGTCGAATCATCACCGAAATCACTTCGAAATCAATTCGTCACTCAAAAATGTAAATGCAGCAGCTTGTGGATCAAAAGATCTCCCCAAACAAAAGGAAGATTTTCAGCGAAATCACATGAAAAATTTTCAACTGATTTCCAAAATATGAATACGTTTTGACCTTAGTGGTTTCCCCCTCGTACCAGCTTTTATTTTAGAACTCGACATGACTCACCTGCACTGCCCACTTCACATGTATGTTACACAGTACCTGCTATTTTGCCCACAATCATAGTGCATAAATCGCACTGAGTGTTACAGGAACTATTTTAACACTGGCTTAAGACACCACATCATTTAACTCCATTTAAACATCACCTTGCGACGTAGGCATTGCAACAGTCTCTATGCATGCATAACTTCATAAGCATCTACTAAATCTTAGCTTCATCTGGTTATCAACAAGTTTATGGCAAAAAACCGAACCAAGGTATAAACCTTTTTCATACCAAATGGTACAGTATGAAGTTTTCTTAGTAAAAGTTTCAATACATTCAGAAATTATTAAATAATTGGAGCACCAAAAAATATTTCCTATTAGTGTAAAATTACAATAAATAAACAAAAAGCATTTTTTCTTGGGTTTAAAGGAAAACCTTTTAATACAATTGTTAAATAATAATGAAATTACTGCTGCTTTAAAGACAATGTTGAAAATTTTCCCAATATTTTCCCCGATAATAAAGAATCATGTTTTTTTATTAATTTCTGATTAGCTATGTAATATGTCAGTAAAAACAATTTTACATTTGTACAAAGTCTACCTACATGAAACCTATAGTTATAAACCATCAAGAACTATATCAATGAGAGTTATCTACCCCTCAAGAAATCAACAAAGTAATTTCAGAGTTAAATCGAGAAAAGCCTGTGGTGCTGATGGTATCTCTGGGGACTTGATCAAACATTTCAAAAACGAGATGTCGGTTATCTCAAGTAACCTAATAAACTTAACTTTCACTCATGCTTCATTTTCCAATGGACTAAAAGTAGCTAAAGTTTTACCACTATTTAAAGGAGGCTAAGAACTTCCACTAATAACTACCGACCGATATCTCTATTAAGTTATATCTCCAAAGTCCTGGAAAAATGTATTAATCAAAGGCTTGTTTCCTATCTTGAAAAAAGAATTTTTGGTACAAGGGACAGTATGGTTTTCGTAGTGGAAGTAGCACAACGTCGGCAGTCACAGATATGATTACCAACATCATGTGGATGAAGGTAATGCATGTATCATTGTTTCACTTGATTTAAAGAAGGCGTTTGATACTGTTAGTCACTCAGTACTGTTATCTATTTTGGAAGACTATGGAATAACAGAAAATGCATTGGCTTTCTTTAGAGATTATTTCAATGGTCGTACACAGTTTGTAAGTAATGGAAATACCTCAAGTAAAATGGCTGATCTACAATATGGTGTACCCCAGGGGTCAATTCTTGGACCAACGTTATTCCTGATCTATATAAACTCCATAGCTCAGCTACCATTAGCTGGTTATTTACAACTTTATGCTGACGACGCTTGTCTCATTTATTTTGGAAAAGATACAGACGAAATAAAGTATATTATAGAGCAAGATCTAATTCAAATTCTTGAGTGGTTAAAGTTTTATAAATTAACTTTGATTACTGACAAGTCAAGTTTTTTAGTGATATCAAAAAACCTGATTGGAACAAATTCCAAATAAGTATAGACAATGAACAGTTGACTAGGACAGAATGCATTAAATATTTTGGCTTATACATAGATTCCAAACTTAACTAGGAACATCATATTGCTCAATTATTGTGTAAAAAAATTAGTCCTGCAATTCGAGTATTGGGACGTGTTGCCTGCTACCTTTCAGCTGACTTAAGGAACACTCTGTATCGTTCATATCTATCATATTTAACTCTTATTTGGAGCAAAGCTTCCTAAAATAGACTAAAAATAATATTCTAGACATTGAGTCCCTCTCTAAATATCAGACATGCATTTTTATTCATAACCTATCTCTGAATAATATACACTTATCCATACAACTGACTACTTCCTATGATATCCATAGATATAATACTCGGAATAATCGCTGCTTCAGAACCACAGCCATAAGAACATGCTTTGGTGACCGAAGCATACTATCTGATGGTCTAAGACAATACAATGAGCTTCCTAGCACCATAAAGAACATAAGGACTGCCCTCTTAAAAAAAAAAAACTAAAAGGCCACTTAAAAGAATTTTCTTAGTTGATATCTTCATGTTTAAATAGGGTTTAAGTAAGTGTGATATTAATTACTGTATATTTTTGTTTTTGTTTTAATTATTATTAGTTATTTTGTAGTAGTATTGTTATTATTGTAACTAAGCAGGTACCGAATTCTTCTTCTGTGATATATTATAAAATTTGTACCTTGTAAGACCCACATAGTCTTAAGCTCTGGGTCTAAATATACCAAATTGTATTCTTTTTTTATTAATAAACTTGATGGAACCTTAAATAGCACTGTTCCCCTTAGCACTTAAATAATTTTACAGGACATACTAAATATTCAATATCTATGCAAGAAAAAAACCATGGCTTTATAACTATATTATAATTGTATTCTGTACATTTTGCTTGATTTTTATTATTTATTTATAGTGAGTGACAATTAAAAAATTTACAATGGCTATATCTCATGAACTTAAGACGATTTCAGAAAAGTAAAACCTAATAAAAACAATTTTATTTGTACTCTTGGACTAGAAATATTATATTCTGATAAACATGCTATATTAATTGGAATAAGGTTTTTAATTATTATTTACTATTGAACCACCCTGTATAGGTTATAAATTATATCGTTGAAAAGCGTTTTTTACTGGCTTTCCAATGGCATATGACAGGTATGGGTTGCTATTTTTAGGTCGGTAAGCCTTAAGGAGTTGATGGGGGTGAATTCTGTATTTTGTCATCATTTACATCTTTCTTTGTCTCATTGAAACGGTTTCACTGATACCATCTTTAGTTCATGATATACTCCCTCCTGAGCCAAAAAGAGGTATCTCAGTTGAAGCAAGTTTCGAGAAAAAATACATTTTCTAAAAGTTCTTTACAGGTTCCCTTGAGTCCAAAAAATAATTTAGGTACTGCTGGACTACTTTAAATTATTTCTTATTTTTGAATATTACTTTTTAGTCGAATATGGATATGCAGCCATTTAACTTAGTAATAATAGCATACCCTAGCCTTTTAGTAAATACAAGTTCAACAGCAGTAATTATAAAAATTTGTCAAAATTGATGTAATAATGCTTACCTTCAGTTTTTTAAATATCAGTAGTAGTTAGTGAAAAAATTAAATAATATCAATTTTATGCATTTTATTTAGTAAAATTATTTAATTGTATTGCACATACAGATGCTCACATCTAGGTGCATCAAATCAAAATAATAACGAAAAATTGTAATAAATAAATTATTTTATTACAATTGTAACATTGTAATTTGTAATTGAGATATGTAAATATTTCTTAGGTTTTTTTTAATCTTCTGACTGAGATTTTGCTATTTTTCTTAGTTCATCTGATGCCGATTTTTTCACTGCACTAAAAAATAAGTCATTTTTTTGAAGAGATAACGTTTTTGGCTTAGGAGGGCAGCATGACCAATGTAAGTTTTATGGTCACCCTGTAACAAATATGTGTTACAAACTTTGTTTTGATGTCATGACTATTAAGTTGCTATTCCTCTGATACCTCCAGCCATGATTAGATAACTTTTATTCAATTTTCGATTGTATTTTATAGTTACTGATTTACTAACTGCAATTAAAAAAACCCAAATGACACATAGATAATAATTGAAGATATCTGTATCTCTCAAGTACAAATTTGAAATAATTACAGTTACTTAATAAAAATATCTCAATAAATATTTAAATATAAATAGATGACTTTCTAGAAAAAAATATTGTGTTCATTTTTGTCTAAATATAAATACTTCTCAAAAAAAGGAAACTAAAAATTTGTCAATTAGAAATAGGCAAATTCTGAAAATATATAAGGATACAGCAATTAAGTAAAAATAATGAAAAGATTTTTTTATTTGCAAAACGTTCTAAGGTATATAAAATTGTATAGAACAGGGACAGAAGTTGGTAAGGCTTTTCGCAGTTATCCCACTTCATACACAGGATTTGACAATTTTACCACGGAGTTAACCAAAGTGAACTTTGGTATAAAAAATAACTTTATATGTGCTAATAACAATTTTGCGTAAATAGTTTAATAAATTGTGAATAAATATTGAAATTTTGTAGAATTTCGATTTGGGATATTACTTGTTTGAATAATTATTTCTAGCCTATAAATAGATAGGATTGCCGATTCCGCCAGTAATAATTTAAAATGTTTGGTATTATTTTTACTCTATGTTATGACACTGGCAAACAAACATTACCGCAGAATTCTCGAAGTCGAGTAATGGGGTTTGACGTTTACCACCTCTCCACCTACTAAAAGCATTTTTAACTTCTGTTCCTGCTCTGGTACTAAAAGCATGTAGTTACAGTTAGGCCAGTCATATCTTTACTTATACCTCATTAATATCTGATATTATAAAACAAAATCTTTATGTAGTACTATCTGTCTTTTAGACCACAAAATTATGAGAGATTACACAGTCAATACACTGAAAGGGGCAGCTTTTGATCAACTCATCCTACATTATTTTTTTGCTTATTTAATTTATGCAAATAGCGTATTTATAAAGATACACTGCCTAACTGTTAATTTATTTACTAACCTTAATGTGAAAGAATGACGTTCTAGCTATATTAGTAACAGGAGATCTGACCTGTTGCCTAGCATGTATAACGTTTACACGAAAAGCATCTACGGCGTTTCTTCCGATGTCATCTCGATAAACTCTAGAGATGAGCACTTCACCCTTGTGGTTATACACAAACAGTCCTCCAATCATTTTGGTATGCTATCGGAATAAATACCTACATTAGATGATTTTTTTCCTTATTAAAAATGTTTGAATTTTGTTAGAGAAGCAGTTCATATTGCAATATATAGATCATTTTAGTTTTTAAAGTATCACATCTGGCTGTTTTGCTTAAAACAACTATAGTCATTTAAAACTTATAGTTGTCATTTTATTGATATTAATAAGCTGCGGTTATAGATCCTATATTTATTATTATTTAATTAACAAATAAAGAGATGTCTGCAATGCTAGGAATCCAATTATCAGTCCAGAGATTAAAGGTTTCAAAATTAAGAAATCCATCAAAGGAACTATGATAGGAAATATTGATTTGTACCAATTAAGCTGCTATCGGAAAATAAAAATGGGTTATTTAACCCATATTCGTGCGATTTTAGTGATATATACTTGCCAGATCCGCCCACCAAGGTTGAAAAATTAATATAACTTCTCTTATTATTTATAACTTGTTTACGTACCTTATGATATCATGACCCGTTGCCTAAGTGTATCTAAAACCAAGTTTTTCGCTTAATTATTGGATTTTAAGTTTTAATATTCCATAATTCAACTTATTTATTTGACATTCCCTTTTCTCTCTGATTTTGCCGCACGTCAATACGACAAACGGTAAACGTCAACGATGTGCGGCGTTGCAGGGTATTGGCAGATGTATTGGTGTCATCTACTACAATGTTGCCTTAAATATTATATCTCTTTTTGAAATGATTTGCATTGCAGGAATAACAAACTAGATTTCGTGCATTTTCTGAGCTACGCATTAATTTAACTAAATGAAGACATAAATGTTCTTTTTTTAGTTATTATTACTGAAATCCGTCCTGAAGAATACTTCTAACAACTTCTATAAAAAAGGCCATAGGGCTGAAATCCTTATTTGTTAAATCTAAATTCTTCTTTTTATTTTTATTAAGTTTACCGAGTGAAGCATTAGCCACAAAGATCTTCTATGAAGAAATCAATTTTTCTATGAAATTAATATTCAACTTCGTAGACAAAACGGTGTCCTCTTATCAAAAGTTTATTCCTTGAATTATTATATTATCGTATTATTATTAAATAAATCAATCTAATGTAATTATTTAGTCCTGAACAATGAATTTTCTGTATAAAGTTTGCCCCACTCTCCGTATTTACTTACTTGTCTAGCTTTGAAAGGTCTTTGGTTTAATAAGTTTTAGACAGAGTTGGATTTAGCCCTTTTGTCTATTTAATTTATCTTTTCTTTGATGTTTTAATTATTAATGCATGTTCTTAATAATTAGGTAAGTTAAAAATGAGACAAAGAAGTACACATTTGAATATTCTGTATTTGTAATTATTATTATTATTATAATAACGAGGCACTGATAGTTGTGCATATTTTCAATATACATTCTTCACCATACACTACACTTGTCTGTAGGGTTCATAGGAGATCCGACGGGGCATCTATAAGCTTGTGCAAAGTCTTTAGAGTTGGATAATGGGCCTAAAACTCTTACGGGACCCGGAGAATGTACGCTGGATCTTATTTTTGTCAAAGCATCTTCTGGCCTCATCGATCCACACCAAATTTGAGCGTAATTGAGGAAAAACAGTTGATCATGGGTTAAATTTAAACCAGGTAGATCGAATTCTTCTCCATGCTGGGCGACCCATTTTTTATACGCCTACAAGAACGTCAATAGCATATACAAAATAACATTGATAATAAAAATACCCTAAAAGATTGCTTTAATCCTCCGTTGTCGGCGATATTTTCTCCTTGAGTCATTCTTCCGTTAATGTAAAGACCAACTTCGTCAATTTTATATCTGGAATATTGATCGATAATGCACTGCGTTCTTTCTCTGAAAGCTTTGATTGTAGCATTATTCCACCATTGCATCATGTTGCCATGTTTGTCGAACTGTCTACCTACAAATAAGATTGTTTTTCGAAACAATAAAGTAATCGATTGTAATATTTCGGAAGGAATTCTTCTTTCAGAAATATTGATAACTATAATAGATGTTTTTACTGCATACAATTTCAGAATTGAATTGCGGTATAGTTAAAAAACGCTTTGCTATTTAGAATCAAAGTATTTTAGTCTCTGTTTTCATGGAATTTATTGATATAAATTGATTTTAAAAATTAAGTACCTTTATCATCAAATCCATGCGTAATCTCATGTCCAATAACAACGCCAATGCCGCCGTAGTTTAACGATTTTGGAAAATGCTGGCTATAAAATAAAGGTTGCAATATTCCAGCCGGAAAAACTACAAAAAGCCCCTATGTACAATGCAACTTGTTACTGTACGCAAAAAGATTCTTACCAATATCGTTTTTATTCGGATTGTAAAACGCGTTCACCACCGCTGGTTCAGTTGACCACTTTTCTTTGTCCACCTCTTTGCGAAGCTTCTCCAAATTCTGTTTGGCTTCGAATTTTAAAATTTTCAATACGTTTAACATGAACTCGTGTTTTGTAAGGTTGAGCTAAAAACAATTTATTTAATTTACGTAGTAGGTACTATTGTACGAGGATTGATCACCATGTTCCACCCTTGACCTATTTAAAGTAATCTGTCAGATTCTTACAAATACAAATGACTAAACACGCCTAACTTCGAACTTGAGTATGCGACCGGTTGGCACCAGATTAAACGCATGAAGACTAGAGATAAGGAGGCGAATCGGCAATGATCAAATTTCAAATTTTTGTCCTTTTTATAAAATTCGCTAAAATGACTGTAGTTGGCAGGTCGAATGAATATAAATGAAACAAAATGCATTTATTTAGGTAAACGTATATAACATAAATATATTAAAAAAACATAAAGGAAAAAAAACTAGAAATAGTGAAATATCCTTAAAAAACAAACATTACAAAAATAGCCCTATTGACATTTTTAATCTTATAATTAATTTCATGCACCTACATGCCTTTCTTTGATATACTTTTAGACATTTACACCGAACAAATCCTTGCTTAGGCCCAAAAGACAAACAATTTGGCTTCTTCATGCCCATGTACAGGAGAACCTGAAGCGATCTCAGATAATGGTAAAAATGGAGGAAATAATTAAAACTTATTTCGACTATATAACAGTTTAAATTTTATATTTTTATTGCCGATAATGTATAAATCTTGATTAGTCTTTTCCATACTGGTTGCTAATACATTTCGAGGAGCTTAGACGTCCATGTTTATCAAAACACCTATATTAATAGGTGGAAATTAGAATTACGATTGGGTAGGCATTTTATCAGCTTGTGTTTCAAGTCTCTGTTTGCAACCTAGTCTCTTTGTATCAGCTGCTTTTTTATTGCCATAAAGTTTGCATAATGGTAAATCCAAATCAGCATGAAATGGTTCATTGCATTCAAGACACACATTACAAACAAAACATTTATTCATATTGACATTTTCGTTCTTCAACCTTTTGCCGTTTCCATCATTTTCTGTTTCAGTATCTTTTTAGTTAGGTTTCGATCTCTAGTTCCGATTCGCCAATTTCAGAATTATATTTCCCAATAATTGCTTTTTCATCAATTTCAGATCTCTTCCGTTTACCAGGTGTATCTAAGCATGTATCCATGTATCATGTTTGAACATGGCCGCATAAGGTTACTAAGGAATATTTTACTACAAACGTCAGATAGCTCATCTTCAACGCGTTCTGAGTAAAACGCAATAGCCAGAACGCGACGTGGGCAAACGAAGAGCTCCACAATGCCAAACAAAAACGCGTAATCCATTATTTCGTATCGTGGGTAGCATTGTTTACCCATACCGCGTTGTGGACAAAAAATTCGGACAGTGGGCGATTTCGGCTATTGCGAATAACATATATAAGTCAATGTAAAATAAAGTGATTTTTTAAAAAATGGTGAAAAGAATCAAAATAATGTGAAAAAAAGTACCTGTGTACAAATAACATGAGTGACAAAAAACATTAAAGCAAGATTTACTTCCTTCCAGACTGTAAAACAGGATACAAATCAGATGTAATACTAAAGAAAACACAAGGAGAAATCAATTCAATGTCTTTTTTGGGGTTTAACCAAAAAATAACAGTAGCAACTCTTTATCTAACATTAAAACAAATTTTCTTTTATAGTAGGTTACATTTAATGTACAATTATTGTTGTTTGTAAGTCAGGATCTATGACTGAAAAATTTTATTTTATAGAAACTTGTAATAAAATAAACTACACTCCGTGATACGTGTGTTGTGACTAGTTTACAACAAATATTATATTTAGAAATAAATGCATTATTTTACATTTGATTTGTATCCTGTTTTACAATCTGGAACGACGTAAATCTTGCTAAGATGTTTTTTGTCACTCATGTTATTTGTACTCAGATACTTTTTTTCACATTATTTTTATTCTCTTCACCAATTTTTTAAAAAACACTTCATTTTACATTGACTTACATAGAAAATTGACACCGCTGTTATTCGACATGCCAACTTTATTAAAGAAGGACGGAAATTTGAAACTTGACCATTGCCGATTCGCCTCCTCTCTAGTCTTCATATATTAGCTATTAACGAATAGTTTTTATGGTTTTAAAAAAATTCTTCCATATTGCTCTTAAAATGATAGAGCGCATCGCTGGGATATGTGCATTATAATTAAGGAAGATTATGTTGAAAATAAAGTAAATGTTGAAATATTATTTTCAGTACAAATAGGCCAGGGTTGGAGCATAGGGATCAACCCACGTAGTTCGCATACATAAAAAGGTTCTATTACTCTTTCTCCTGTTACTAAAAATAGTATATAACGATCGAAATAAATTTACCAACCCCTTCGTATTCTTTACAAAGCGCCTCTTTGTCGGTAACTAACTTGGGATAACCGATTCTTTCGTTCATCGTATCAGCTTTCTCTTTGGCAACTGTTCTTGTTTCGTCGTCCATCCAATGATTTTCGGCAAGTAGTTCGTTGAAAGCTTCTCTGATGGTGCGAATCATCTCTAAAGCGGTTTCCTAAATAATACAATTTTTAAAAAGTAATAACAGTTGTAACCGCTGAGGTAGGCGAGACAGACTTATGCGTACATTTTTCATATTATTCATTGTTTTTGTAATGACCCACCTTACTTAAAAGATTAAAATTGTCCCTAATGTATAAGGCACCGACAGCCATACCCATTTTCTTATTGGTCCATTCGACACATTGTGCCCATCTATGTCTTTCGGACAAAACACCTTGCAAAATTTTCCTAAATTCTACTCGCTCTTTTTGATAATCGTCCACCAAATGCGATGAAAGAGACATCACCAGACGCCACAAAACGTAATTATGTATGGTTCTGTGAAAAAAAAAATAAATAACAGTAACGTTTTCTGGAGAAAAAATTTTGGTTTAATAAAAAGTTGCTATACATTTGCAATTTTCCTTACTTTACTGCAAGTAAAATTGTGCTAATTTCTAATAAATGCAAGAGAAAAGTTACTAAATACACCAACTTAGTTAACTAAACAGAGTCGCCAATATACCATATATATTAGGGAAACAATAAGTCAATAATTAAATAAAACGCACATTAATAATAATTATTTCAATATTTCATATTACGCCCAGGGCTAAACTTCCTGAAAAAATTTGTACACATGAACTTTCACTGGAATTCCATATTAGATTCTATAAAGATCCCATAAAATCCCACTCCGTGAAATGTCAAGTAAAACCACATAGATAGGCGATTTATAAAAACTGTATGGAACATTTTTAAAAATGAAAAATTTAGCCTTAAGTATATCAACATAAAACTTTGAAATATACACATTCCCAAAAATGTTTGTTATTTTTGAGGCTCTAAATAGTTTGATCGTAGAAAAAGTATAGTGTGCAACATGTGCGCAAACACTTTTATCCCTCACTTCATTTTCGGATTCGGCGCTCGAGGAAAAGTATAACTTTGTACACTTGTTGCACAGACTGGGTACTATTTTTAGTTTAAATCAGAAAAACATTTATTTTTCCTTAACATGTAAAAGAATAGAAGACACCCTCGGCACCCTCATCAGCCGCCTCATTAATGACAGTCTCTACACTATAGCGTACGCAGGTCATTCCGCAAACAGGGAATTTTGAGAATATACTCTGCGAAAAAATGCAAATAGCTCTCACAATTATAAAACAATGGTAAGAGGACTGTCTGTCAATCCCAAGAAGACAGAAATGGTTCTCTTCACAATAAAAAGGCTAAAAATGAATCTAAAACCTCTAGAGCTCTTAAAGTGAACTTTGCAACAGAGGAGAAGTAACTAAGTCTCACCTTTGACAGCAAGTTAACATGGAACTCACATCGAGAAAACAGAGTCAAAAAACCATACATGAAATTCAAGGAAAGATTGGATGAAAGAAGAACCTGTAAAGCTGCCAGGGAGCTTTTAAGTTATCCCGATAACACCACAGCAAACAAATACTTGACAATGACTAGACAGAATCTGCGCTGATCACAGACATTCTGACTAGTCATTACAAAGTATGCAAGCCGAATTCGCACTTTGCAGGGGGTACGAACAAGAAGATGAGACCATAGAGCAAATCCTCTACTATTGCTCGACGCTCTCATTTTATTTGTTCGGCTAGTATATTGCCCAATACCGGCCGATATTAGAACAGAAGTAAAAGTTGGAAATGCTTTTGCCAGTTCTCCCACTTTATACACATAAATTGACAGGTTGTCAGCGGATCTCACCGAAGTGGACGCGATACAGTGGCGTACAAAATTATTTTATAGATGTTAATAACAATTTCGAGTAAATAGTTTAATAAATTGTGAATAGCTTTTGAAATTTTGTAAAATTATAATATTATAATACATGTTTAATAATTATTTATAATCCATAAATACAGGCGATTGTCCGGTTCCGCCGATAACAATTTAAAATTACTTATTCTATGAAACGACACTGGCAGGTAAACATTACTGTGAAATTCTCGGAGTCGCCCGACGTGGTTTAACGTTTACCCCCTCTCTACCTACCAAAAGACTTTTCAACTTTTACTTTCTCTATACAGAAGGACTTCTCGGTGACGTTGTAAACTACACCAAATCTGTAGGCCAGCTGACAAGCGTTAGAGATACGTTAGAGATACATAAATAGTTGTTTTAGTTACAAGGAAAGTTTAGTTTGTCGGCAACTCGAAAAGCACTTTTCATCCGTAGTTAATACTGTAATACGAGCCATTTTCGACCTTTTTGGTACTGCTCTAATCCCTTAAATCCCACTCTACCTTGTATGGGACCTTACGGCCGCACTTGTCCGATTACCAACAATATTTTAAAAAAAAATCCTAAAACCCAACTTAATGTTATGCCTGTGGTAAATGGGACGCCTATGGCCAACGCCGATCAACAATCTAAAACACAGTAGAATGATCGATGATAATAAATTACAACTTCTGGCTAAGGTGCTATATTGTAATATATGATCGATGAATTTGGTGGAAACTTCGAGAGCCTTCACCATATTATATAAATGAGCTGTGTTGCTTTGGCGGTCAATTATAATCGAGATGTAGCTATGAGCAAATCAATATAAATGTCCACATAAATTGGTATTTAAATAACTGTCGCATGGACTTACACGGCTATCATAAGACCTATGCTAACATACGGCGTAGTTGTCTGGGTACCAAAAAACCAAAAAAAAAAAAACAGCTATCCGTAAACGATAATAATTTCAAAGCACAGCATGTCTCAATATAACAGAAGCTATGAAAACAACAATCTTCCAGAGCCATGGAAGTCATTCTTAGTCTCGCTCCCCTTGATATTTATATCAAGGAGGTTGCTCTGACGACAATGACACGCCTCCGCACAGTTGGAATAGAACCTGATGTAGCATCTGGTGAGGCGAGAGACGTCGCTTTTGGAAGGAGGCGCTCGATACACTCCCATTGCTCCAAGCGAACATGGAATCCATCTCACCGAGATATATCTTCCATAAGTTATATAAAGTTATAACAGAACAAATAGAAGAGCCAGAAGTGGCAGTTACGCTTCATATCTACATCGATGGTTCTAAAACAAAACAAAACTCAAGATGTGGAATATACTCCAGATTGTTAAACCTAAATATAAAATTGGCTGTGAGCAATAGTATCAGTGTAGTTCAAACAGAGGTAACGGGGATTCTCATAGCAGCAAAAGAAATCACTGGAAGGAACATGCTTATCTATACAGATAGCAGACAAGCACTATACTTATCCTGAACACACCACGAATTTATTCAGGGTTAGTACTAGAATGTCACGAAGCTTTGGCTGAAGTATCCATCAACAATGTGGTCACCTTAAGATGGATCAAAGGTCACGCCACATCGAAAGGTAACCGTCTTGCTGATTCACTAGTCAAGAAAGCAGCCAACCAAATACTTTTTTTACCTGGCCCTTCTATTGTCCTGACAAAATCGGTAGTGACATAGGTACCTAATTAAAGAACATTCCCTTGTGAAATTCAAGGAAAGAAACTGCAGAGTTGCCAGGGAGCTCTTAAGTTATCCTGACAACACTGCAGCAAACAAATACTTGACTATCACTAGACAGAATCTGCGCCTAGTCACAGGCATTCCGACTGGTCATTGCCAAGTACGGAAGCATCTCCGTATCATGGGACTGTCAGAATTCGCATTCTGCAGAAGGTGCGAACAAGAAGATGAGACCATCGAACAATGTAAAGGATATACATTGTTCGACACTCTCATGTATTAGAAGATTTGTGTTCGGCGAGTATCGGCTAACACCGACCGATATAAGAGAAGCACCTCTTGGCGACGTTGTCAACTACATTAAATCTGTAGGCTGGCTAACGAGCTAGGAGGTGTCTATCATCTTAGGAAGATGCACAATGGGCCTAGTGAGACCCAAGTGCCGTGAAGGTAACCCACCCTCCACACGTTACAGATACAGATAGTAATAAGTACAAATAAATAAATAAATAAATTATGAAAGTGTATAAATAAATGAAATAAATAAACTTTTAAAATAATTCAACGTTACATTTTTGTCACGAGTCAGGATATCGTAAATAAGTAGTGGTTAAAATGACTAAAAATTATCGAGCTACGTCGAGACCTAGAAAACCGTGAGCTGGAGATGACAGGAAAGAAACCCGAGTTGGGCAGCGTGATTTTAACAAGCAATGTAAAGTGATGGTTTCGATCCGGAAACGTATGTATTTTCGGATGATGCATCTTCTGCTATAATGTCTTCTAAAAAAAATATATTTTCGCCAGTCTTGAGGTCTGGCATCTGTTTTCCGGAAAAAGTCAGTTATCAACCCCTAGAGAAACCTTGAAACATCAAGATGGATCCACGTTATTTCTTCTAGTTTTTAGAGTTTTTTTGGTGCATTTAGTTAAAAAATTACATACATTATTTGAAAACAAAACGCTCGGGCCCGTTAATTTTTGATTTAAGGCGAAAACATTTTTTTGCCTGTTTCACCCCCTAAACGGAACCCCTCTAGCGGAGGTATGATTTACACCTAAAGTCTTAAATAGAAAGAGAGGTCGAATGATCTAATTTTGAAGGTATTTTTACCTAGATTATAACCCCCCGAGTTTTACTTCGCTCTATCTACATAGCCCATATAGTGGCTCATTAAAAGTACAAAACCAGTTACTTAGGTGTCATGGAAACTTTCTATTATATTTCTTAAAGAGTGGGCAAATTTGAGTTGAGATACTGAACTAGATACCCGGTATCGATTAATTAAAAAAAAAAACAATATTTAATTATGAATTGTTTCCTTTTAAATTCACTTTTCATCTGCGTTGCCCGATTTAGTAAAGAACCCCGTTTTATTTTCTTATTATTTTTAACGTCTGATTGAGCACCATTCTGTCTAAGTTATCATTTCAAAACCATTTATTTTTGTTCAGAGTTACTACAACCAGTAAAATATTTAATTACATTTTGTTTGTTATTAGCTTTCGTATGCAATAGGTGTATGAATTTTTAACAACTTGGCTCATAATTGCGGTTATTTAACCGTGTATCGACCTTATTCATTTCTCTTTCAGCTTCCGGAAATTATCTGAGTAATAATAACGATTAAAAGCCGTTATTTTTACCCTGATATCAACGAGACCTTGAGAATTTCTCCGTCATCTCCACTAGAAGCTGCCCGAGCCCTTTTGGCCCCGAATCAAAAGATTGTGGAGCGAATCACATTAGAAAAAAAAAAACTGGGGCTCAAGGGTTTCCGAGCCCAAGGCGTCACTTGTAAGGGTTATGTTTTCTTAGAAGCAAGAAAACACCTTACAATATACCGTCACCCATTTTACAAAAGGGCAT